ACGGAAGGAAGGGGGATGGTGGACGGAGGTAAGGGATGAAGGGAGCAAGGGAGACAGAGCCAGAGGCGAGAGAAAGGCCACAGACCCACCAAGACGCCGACAGATAAGGGGGCCCTAGCTGTTCGGAACAGCACTGCTTGCCCTGACGAAGACCCGACCACTTGGGGAGATAGGAGGCTGAACAAATAGCTCACTGCTCTCATCTCACAACCTGCTTTGATGTCTCGACCAGGTTGGAATTGAACAATAGAGTAATTGCCAAAAAAAATTAAAGAATCATCCCAGAAAAAAAGATTTGCAAACTCGTGGGCTCGAAAGATATTTGGATATATTTCAGAAACAGAAAATACAAAACAGAACAGATTTTACAAAAATAATAAAACTTGTGTTTAAAGAAAAGATGAGAACTAGCTCTCCTGGCTAGACATTGTTTTGACTGCGGAAGTTTGTCCTACTATATAGATACGACCGGAGCGCTCCCATCCTGAGAATCTGCGAGTGAACTGCATCGAAAAAGTGACAAGATTTTAAACTTCATACTTGTGGTCGCTTCCTAGTACTTCTCAAAAACATCTAAAGTTCTAGTGTTCATAAAGAGATGATCAAGATGTCTCGCGCTCACAACAGCCTCCTGCCTCCTGTGAAAGTGTTGTGTCACGTCTGCAAGATCGCTCTTCTCTGCCTACTTGTGGTCAGTATTCTTTTCTCTGAAGTCGCATGTGGCACTGGCGAAAATAAAAAATCTTCAGCACAGCCGCGGAGGGACAGACGAAGTGTTGGCCAGCAGGTACTATAGTGTGTTGTTCATATTTCTTTTTCAGTGTCCGTTTCGGGACGACCAAGCTGTGAGTAAGTACCGGAAAGACTGCGTCAGTTCGTATAGGTTAGTCTTAAAACAAATCCGAACAAAACCATCACCACACGTACACCGTAAGTCATTGCTGGGAAGGAAAGAGAAGGTCTTGACGAACATTTGTAAATAGATTTGTTTATATCTGACTTCGAATCTAAATTCATTGTTACGTTTGCAATCTGAAAAGAGTTTGGGGATCATTTACTTCTATAGCAGAAACGCTGATTCTTCTGAAACAGACTGTTGAAAAATATATTTTGTTTTGTAAAACAAGTAAAAGAAAAAGGAAGGTTGTGGGGTGATGGTAGCCCGGTGTTCTTGGGCGTTGGTTCAGCTTGGAATAATGAACGTTTCCAAATTCACAAACTTAAGCTTGATATAACTTTTAAGGAAAGCGCAATGGGAACTTCTAATTTGATGAGTCGCAGTGAAACAACTTCCATGTCCGCATATAATTCAGCATACGCAACCGGCAGAAGGTAAAATGAAAATGTCAATTACTGATTCATTTTCTTCGCATTCAGCTCGTCCCAACAGATCTAGCCTAGACAAGGAAACTAAACCCGCCAGATTATGAGAGGAATATTATGGCGTGCAGTTTGGTGAGGTCTGTCTCCCTTTCCGATTATACTTAAGCCGGTTTTAGATTTACGAATTATGCTCAAGGAGGGGGCTGCTGAAAATATATTGCCGCTTAAGTTTTTTTAACCAACTGTGCATCATGGGAGATAATTTCGGTTGCTATATTGATTACTCAGTGTTTCTCATGTTACAAATGATGACTTTTTGCCTTCTTTTTTTTACTTTCTTATGTGTTGATACTTTTATACTTTCAAAACTTCAAAGATGGTAAACTGCAAAATAGTTCACTATGTACAACGTGCCCTTTACAATCCACTCGAAATTTTGTAGTTTTTTAAATCGGTTCTTATAACAGCCTCTTGCTTGTTTCCCAAATAGTTTCTACAACAAAAGCTTTGGCACTACTCTTTACGAGATTCATCACTCCATAACCCGCCCCCTCCCCCATGTAAGCTTACCAAATGCACAGTGATTCTCAGCAATCCTTTTGAGGACATTTGATTGTATGATTTATCTAATCTAAAACCGTGAACACCCTTGTAGTGTATGATCTACGTTACCATGAAAATTCAGCAATAATCTCGTTGAAACTTTTGAGGGATCTTCGGGTTTCAATTCCAAGTCTGCTAGGTCTGAGAGACGGAGAACTTTGGAAACGCTTAAAAGCAAGCCAATTTCAAGAGCTTGCCATTCGGTATTCGAACAGTGGTCGTCTACATCACAGCCCAACATGCCGCTGATTTGGGCTAACGGTGCATCCATTGGTACATCAATAAATACAGAAGCGATTAAAGAAAGACTTTTTTTAAAAAGAATAAAACTAAACATATAGCTGAAGCCCGCCGAATAAATTATATAAATTGCGTCGAAGGGTCGAAAGAAAACCTTCATAAAAAAGGAATATGGCATTTCGTATATTTTCGTAGATTTATTAGATATTGTATTTTTATAAGTATAATAATAGTGGACTTCTTTTCCGCACTACGCACTCCTACGCCGGATCAGCCAATGAACTCTCAGAAGTCACACCCGTATGACGTCGAAAAGCGCACTTTCAGCCTCCTTGCTGGTTTCCTTTCGCGTGCCGCGGAACTTTACTTTGAGTCTTAAAAGTGACATTTATGTCATATTATTAAAAATGGTCAACTAGTTCTTGTTGTTGCCACACTTTTACTGTTCATTTCCTTGCTTGGTGTTATGCTTTTTTTAAGTTTGTGGTAGACAATAATAATAATAGTAATAATAATAATAGTAATAATAATAAATAATAATAATAACAATAATAATAAACATAATAATCATAACAATCATAATCATAATAATAATCATAATCATAATCATCGTAATCATAATCGTAATCTTTACTATCATAGTAATAATATTAATTGCATCTATATTGCGCATATCCACGCTCTACAGCATGCTCATTCGGCTTTACAACTATTATTACTCCATCAGAACTTTGAACACCTACAAACATTTTCGGCTTTCTGAGAAGCATGCAGTGCCAGCTGCAGATTGCACGCGCTCAGACACTAACAAACTGGCAAGATCTTTCGCTATCTATAGCTGGGTACCTATTCCCATCTGGGTGAAGAAAGGAAAATGCGTGTTAAGTGCCTTTCCCAGGCGGATTTGAACACATGGTTTCGAGCCTGAGAGCTTAACCGCTAGGCCAGTAATGTAAACAAGACTTTTGTCAATAACTATGTATTAGCAACAGTTGTTTCATATCGTGGGTTCACTGTTCGGATGAGCCGAGCCCAGAATTTAGATTTTTTAAAATCGTTGCACGTGCTCAAGAAATATTTTGTCAAAATTCAAATTCTAAAAGTTGAAAAATAAAAATGATACCTTATGCAGTTAGAATTATTAAAAGGATGAAACAGTTAAAAAAAATTCTCATCCGGAATAAAAACCCCAAACTTTCTGGACTTAGTGCACATTCGGAACATCTATCTATCTATCTATCTATCTATCTATCTATCTATCTATCTATCTATCTATCTATCTATCTATCTATCTATCTATCTGTCTGTCTGTCTGTCTGCCTGCCTGCTTGCTTGCCTGCCTGCCTGCTTGCCTGTCTGTCTGTCTGTCTGTCTGTCTGTCTGTCTGTCTGTCTGTCTGTCTGTCTGTCTGTCTGTCTGTCTGTAAGGACCAAAAACAACATACTATTGAAGCTGGTAGTTCGGCCTTAGTAAGGACGGTCTCTGAAATAATTTATAATCTGAAATATTTTTGTAATGGAGTGAATCAATCCCATTTCCGATCGTATTAGTGGAAAGCTCTAAAACGTGTCGAATTTGTCAAGTTTGGAGTTATGAACAAATACCATCATTCATTATATAGTCGGCATGTCTCTTCGCACATTTGCACCAAAATGGCCGCATGTTCAACGGGATCAAACAGCTTTGTCTTGAAATTTAGCACTGGATGCCCATATCTGAACTTGAATATGAAGTATATTGCATTTTAATTGAATGTTTCAATGCAACTATTTCCAGATGCCACAGATTAAAGTTCAAAAATATTTTAAATCTGTCTCGCTGCAGTTTCAATTATGAATCATTATTTACCAGATGCCAGTCATCTGAGCTTTAAAGTGTTTTTGATGCTGATGGTCTCATTTTGAAACATTTTTGACCTTTTTGGCTGGCGTATCAGTATTAATCATCTACTTCATAGATTCTATCTAAGTCTTAAAATGTTCTCGGTATTTACCCAATTGCATCTGATATAAAACCATATTTCCTAGAAGCCTAAGATCTACTTTAAAGTGTTCTTAATCTTTCTCGCTACAGTATCTGTTCCTACTGTCTATTTCGCAGATACCTGACCGGAGCTTGAACGACATCATTGACCAGTACGAGTCAGACAATGGGGACGTTGACCTTCTGCAGTACACGCCCACCACCCCGCGGCCCCAGGACGTCAACTGCTTCGTTGAGGTGCCCGCGGTAAGTACGCGGACGCTGCTGTAGCCATTATACTAATCTTGCTAAGTGTGGATTTTGTTAAATAACTTTCTTCTTCAAGTGCTACGTCTGAAAAGACATTAGCGATCCCAGTTTGCCGCACATTTCTCTGTGCATACGGAGAAAAAAAAATCATCATCCGTATTTTTTATCCATCGCTTCAAATTCTATGAGTAAGTTCTTCTTGGTTTACCTTCTGCCTCCCATGCCTTCTGTGTTCCCATGGAGAGCAAGATGCTCCAAGTTGTTAGGTAAATTCATGTTTCCTAGAAACTGAAATTTATTAGATATTAACCTATATTGTTTTCTTACTGCTTAAACTCATGGAGATTTCATGTGAAAAAGAGATGTTTTTTTAAAATAGTAGAGGGTTTTACAGCGCTCGCAACTGCATAAGTCATA